TGAGACATTTTTAAAGAGATAAAAGTTAATTGCTAAGGTCAATTTGGTCTATAAAATAACATCATAGCAAATACCATATGTCTCTTGCAAAGTAAAAAATACATAATAAAATTAAAGATTATGAAGTGTGGTTCTTGATATTAGATTTAGATGCTACATCTCCCTCAACTAGAATTGGCTAATAAATCTTATGAATTTATTGATAGATAGATGCATAAAGAAATGGATGGTAATTTGGATAGATGTATACAAATAGGAGAAAAAATTATATATATAATAAAATGATAAATTTCTATTACTAATTCAATAAGAAAATAAAATTAGTTTAACTTTAACAAAATCCTTTCATAGAGCTTTTGGAGCCTTTTAATAATAATAATAAGCTTATAATAATAATAATAATAATAATAATTGTAATAAGAACTTAAATATATAATAAATATTTAATTACAGTAAATTTCTATTTTTAGTATTGTATTATTATATTTTTATTATTATATTTAGAAATTTTAATATTCATGATAAAAAAAATATATTCTAATATAAAATTAGATAATTCATAATAAAATAAAATTTGGTTAATATTTTATTTTGTAATGATTTTATTAATATATATTTTTTAGAATTAATCATTTCAAAGAACTAATGAAAGTATCAAAATCTAAAATATTATAAAGCATATGTGCATTTTAATTATTATGCAAGGAAATATTTAAAAGAACGTCATAGATTAAGATTTTAAAATATATATATTTTTTATAAATTCAAATAATCTGTTTTAGAGAATAATATTTGTATTTTTATGTGTGTGTATATATATATATATATCAAGTTTAATATTTTAAATTATTATTTATCAATTTTATTACTATCTTTTTAATAATGCAATTGGTACACTTTTTATTTCTATTTTATTGTAAAATGTAAAATTTAGAGTTTTATCTTCTTTTAATTTTATTCTTCAACCACACAATAAAATTATCAAATATATACTCTCTTTCTATTTTATACTCCAATTTTTTTATCTACTAGTTACTCTAAGTCTTTAAATATCGTCCACTACTTAATTTTCACTTCAAGGAATTAAATCTAACATTTATTTAAAAAGCATTCAATGAAGATAAGAATTTTATTAAATTCTTTCAATTGATAGAATTCTTATAAATCTTCAAATATCATAATTTACAACTTCCCATAACTTGGTGCCACATGTTGTTCCAATACTAAGATATAAAAATCTACATTTTTACCTACAAATCATCTTTTATAAGTGGATAAATTACTTTGATTAGATCTAGATCTAAGTTATTTGCAATTTTTTTCATACCTTTTCTATTCTTTACATTTTAAATTATTATTGTTGGATAAAAAATCAGTAAAGAAAATAATTTCAATTCTATTGGTTTTTTTGTAAATAATGACATGAATGTCATTACTTACAAATTGCTAATAGCCACCAATTCTCTATAGAAATCCTTAATAAAATATCTTTAAAAATAAAATAAAATTTTAAATTTTTTATGAAAAATAGATTTTATCCTAGATTTTTTTCATAAAATATTTTTTTAATATAAATCTCTTTTTCATACCTCTTAAAATATATTTTTTTCAAATCTACTTAATTTAAATAGCTTTGACCATATTATTATATACTATAAATATTTTTAATGAAAGAATGTATTTATAAGTGTCTAATAAATTCTTAATTCGTATCATTTATTTAGTAGCATCCAAATCTACAATCTAATTGGATATAAAAACTAAAGAACTTCTTTTATTTTTTGAAAATATGTAGTTATATCTTTTCAATTTATATCTTCTATTTATGAAATATTCTATCTTTAATTTTTTGGCATTAATAAAATTTTAAGTAATATGTTTTGTTTTTTACAAATTAAATAAGTATGATAAAAGATTTTCCTCTTATAACTTTATGATTCAATCTTGTCCTTATGTAATTAATTATAATGATTTAAATAGAATTTGAAGCTATAATAAAGTATATATATGGAATTTAAGAACTCATAGAGAGATACATCATTATATCCAAATGTTTTAAGAAATCATTTGTAACAACAAATAAGTTTGCAAAGTATCTTATTAATATATGCAATTAAGTCTTTATTTTATTTTATTTTTTGTAGATGTTGCAAAATTTCTTCTACAATGTTTTTAATTTATTGCAAAAAATATTTTGTAGGAAGTTAAGATTTTCTAAATTAGAAGTAAATATGCCAAAAAAATATTTCACATATCAATTAATCTCCTACACTTTAAAATTTGTACATTTTGGTAGAAGATCTTTAAAATCCATCAAAATATTTAAAAAAGATTTTTTTTTTGTAGTAAATATTATATTATTAAATTTTAATAATAGATTTTTTAAAAAATAATTTAGCGATCTTCAATTCTTTATTTTTATTTAAAACTATATCACATACAACAGATTATTTTTATTCAATCAATTACTAATATTAGATATTTTAAAATTATACTAAATTACTTTTAAAAAATAATATAAAAAAAATCTTAGAATTTTAAAAGGCTACTTTCAACTTCAGACAGTTTAAAGTTTTGATATGCAATTATAAATACTTAGAAGATGAACAAAATGCATGTAAGAATTTGTGTAAGATAAATGCAAATTTACTTGTACCATATTTAATTCATGAATAAAAATATATATTATAAAATTTCTTGTGATATATTTAACATTAGATTATATCCAAAGATGATTATTTTTGTAATTTTTCAACTGAAAATTCTATTTAGTTGAAGTTTTCTTTAAAATATTTATTCTAAACTTTTATCTATTATATAAACTTTAATTATTGTTTGCTTTAGTTACCACTAATCTTTTTTTTTCTTCAACCACAAGCAATCTATATTTTAAAAGCTTCAGGGTCTTAACTTTACCTAGAATTTGTATCATAAGTTAATTTTTTAATTCATTTATAACTATTTTTAAATAGAAAAAACTTAATAAATTAATGAAAACTAATTTTTACTATTAACTTGATATAATATTTTATATTAATAGAAAATTTAATAAGTTCAATATAAAATAATAAAAAAAAGAATTTACCTACTACATATAGAATAAATATCTAAAGGTGATTTTCCTACAATAATAGACACATAAAAACACAATAAATAAATAAATAAATAAATGAAATTAAAAGGAAAATAATTTGAATAAAGTCATAACCTTTTACTAATTAGAAATCTAGAACATGAGAAACTAAAATATTATAAGAAAATCCGTTTATTACCACATCAGAATCTAATTTAATCTACAAATAAACTTGTAGTATGTCTGTATTGTTTCCAACCAATTATATTTAAGAGATAATAAATAAATCAATAAGTAATGATTAAATGTAGAAATATTTTTTTATCAAATTTTAACAATGAAATATAATTCCAAAATATAATACTACAAAAATTAGAAGATCTATACAATAATTCATATTATTAATCTTTTTTAAAAGTGTAAAAAACCAATATGTTCTTATGTATAACCATGGCTTCAGTATATAAATATATATATATATATATATATATATATATATTCATATAATTTCATATAAAGTTATTAAATAAATTACAACTAAATTTAAGACTAAACAAGCAGATTCTTCAATTATTTTTTATTATCTAATGATTATAATCTTTTTAAAGCTGGAGAATTATTAACAATAATGAAAATTATGAATTTAAATACAAATGACTTTTAACAAAAATAAAAAGGTGTTTTCCCCTTAATTGGTGTATTACCACATACATGCTGCTAAAATGCTTTATAATAAAGGGTACAGAATAAAATAAGTTGAGTAAAACATGTTTGTTTTAAAATTAATTATTTTTTAAGGTGACTTTTAGGAAAGTAGGCAAGTCATTTGTTGAATTGTCATACACCTTCATCCACCATACATACTCCAAAGCCAAGTGTTACTTACACAAAGTTGCACAAACTCAGATACCATATTTCATGTCATGCAAATAACGATCTTCATTTATTTCAAAAAAAATCATTTTGAGAAGGAGATCCAATTTATCTAGAGGACCTCAGCTATTGGGTGCCCCTGCTTTCTATAACTATGACATATCCACTTCACTATAACAAACAAGTAGCTGGACTGGTGCCTGACAACCAGGTGGAATTCTATATCTCAGCAAAGCATATGGGATCCAGGGCTCTTGGTACTTGATTCAACTTCTTTTATGGCAGAGACATTGTTGTCTTACCCATTCCAAGGCAAAAAAAGTAGTACTTCTGACACACTCCAGCTTTGACCAATATGGCCTCATCTGAATGCTTGATTTCGTGGCTGTTCCTGTTCTATTTCACCATTGAATTTCTCCTCTTCTGCCATGCCCCATAGAGTTCCTTTGGCCATTGATCTGCAGAGTCTTACTGAAAGCTTTGGATTAGCAACATTGCATTGAACGTTGTATCAGACCCTGGGAAAAGGCTCTGATCTAATCTGTGATTCTGATGTAATCATGTGACACAGCTTTTTTCTGCAGTTGCTGTGGTGGTATTGGCTGGCAGAGAGGACAGAAACAGAACTGCTCCCAGATAAGAGTGTTTTTCATGTATGTAAATAGTGTCCAGCCGCATTGGAGATGACTATGTTGGAGATATAGACATGTTTGAAGGCATCACTGTGGAGTCAGTAGGGTTAAAAGGAAGTAAGGGACGTTGCTGGGACAGGGCACTGCAGAATGACAATTTTGGGGAGGTGTTGGAGTGTGCCAAGATTGCTGATAGACAGACTAGAATAGAACGGCAGGTCTGCACAGAGAGCCCACCTCAGTGCTACAGCAATCATACCAAAAGTCGCCGCAATCAGAATGATGATTATAAACAGAATCGGCAGAAGACGAAAATATGCCCGAAAAGATTTCACCTTCTCGGAAAATTAGACTGGGAAGAGACAGGTACCCAGCGATAGATATGAATGTCCAAATGCACTACGTCAACTATTTCGACAATGTTTATCACAGGAGCTCCTGTGCAGAAGTGAATGTCAAGTGGTATTTTCTTTTTGTATTGAAAAATGTTTCTGAAGTGCAGTGAGTTGAGTTTACATATTATTACAATGAGGCAATTCCAGTTGTGTGAAACATTCATCTACGTGGCAACATCCTCCGAGGTACGCAAATAGGAGCCAAACTCGGTGAACCCATCCGCCATTTCCCAGTTTGGACTGCTTTCGTAGGTGCTCTCTCTCTCTCTCGTCTCATGTGCAAAGGGAGTACACCCCAACACCGTTCATCCCGAACAGTCATATTAATCATGACGACGAAGTAGCAGGATACTTTGTACCGATCTGCATCATGAGGAACGCTGAAGCGCAAAGCTCATGATAGGTTTCTCCAGGGCAACAACCTCGGCAACTTGACGACATCGAATACCCAGCACGATCTTGAATTTGATGGCGTATGTCAAGGTTCTGTGTTGTTTCTTGTTTTTTGGACTATTTCACGCGGTTGCACAATACTGCTACACCATTGTTTAATCACGATCCAGGAAGTATTCTTCTGGAAGGACGGCTGGAGGTGCTAGGGTTGCCACACACTTGAACTGCAATAATTACGAAAGGTAAAATCAGAGACAGCATCACCAACAGCTCCTTCAGCAGCAGTGAAAGAAGATCGACACATACGCTTAAAAAAAACCGTAATTACAAAACGAAGCTTCTACTGACCGTTGCTAATGTGCATCAATGGAACAGACTTTAGTTTCTACTCACCTTATGCTGCCTGTATTTCTCTCGAACGGCAGGGAGTGAACAGCTGTCTGTATTCCGCTGCAATTCATGGATAGCTTTGACACAATGCCCCAGTTCCGATGGCCTGTAACCGGTGTAGTGTTGCAGTGTTGCATCCCACGGACAAGTCGACGAGTCAAGAGTTATCTTGGCGAGATACACAGCAGACGCGGCTATCATAGAGGGAAGGAATGGCAAGAATCCATACTCCAGAAGGGTCAGTTCAGCAAGATAATTCCCTAGAAACTCCAGTACAAGAGTGGGAGTTTTGTAACTAGCTTGAGCTGCTCTGATGAATCGTCTCAAGAAGCTCTTAGTTGTCGGAGTGGTGAGCTCAAATTTTAATACATTTAACACAGCCCTCTCCATTTCCAATACCTGAAAACATTCACATAGGATAATCAGTTTCTCGAGCACAATGCCTGCAGGAATACAAGATACTACAGGGATGAAGATTTCGCAGGACGAACCTCTTCGCGGCAATAGGTGTTGTCTGTGATGTAGCAAAACTCCTCAACCTGAGGGGCGCAAATCTCTTCGTATTTGCTGAAACACAATAAAGACGATCAGTGTCAGGTCGACTGATATTACAATCGCATTACCAACTAACGGAGTTCTACGGGAGAAGTGAATAGATCACTCACGCAGCAATGAGCATGCAAGCCACACCCAGGAGCTGGAGCCGTTGTCGGGTAACAACATGTAAAGAAAGGTATCGATCAATGTAAGACACTGTCAAGTACAATGTGTCAGGAACCAGTTTATATTCTTCAGCAACCTGGGCACAAGAACCACACTTTGTCATCAGCAATGTAGCAACGTAGAATACAGAACACTTAACAACCAATCGTGCTGGTAGGTGGACACAAACTAGAGAAAAACTAAAGGATGCCGAATAAGGTTACCGAACCCAGTGAGGGACAACGAAGAGCTGTACCTCCACAAGCCAGTCAACGAGAATTCCTCGCATAGTCGGGTTGATATCCTGCTGCATCGACTCCATAAAGTTACCCGAAGGCCTCCTTTTAATCTGCATGTGCACCAAGTAACCGTTATTCAAATAGCGCTAAGCAGGAGCAGAACTGCAACTCAGTAAACATTCTAGGTCATTGAGTATTCTAAAAGACACCGTTAAGTCAAGACACTCCCGTAGGATGAGTGTTTTATGGTCTCACCTCAGCCATGCGCAGATATGAATAAATATCTGTAGCATAGGTACTGCACATTTGAGGATCCGAATGATCATTATCAATATCTTGATAGGCCACAATCCCCGGCAATTCAGGTGTTACAGAGAAACTCTTATCGCTGAATAGATTCCCTACATGACGAGAGATTACCAGTGTTAAAGGCATGCTGGATGAGTTGTGAATAAGGTTTCACAGAATGCTTCACTAATGGTTTTCGAAGGCATTGAAATGACTGACATTTCCCGGACGATTGTACCTTGCTTCACCCGGTCTTTCGCCTCCTGAGATATGTAGAGATTTTGTACGGTTCGCCTCTCCAATGAAGCAATCGCTTCAGAGTCGCTTCTTGAATCACGCTCAATTTCACATTCCAATGCGGCCTCTAGATGGGCACCTTTGACAGTCGGTTGGGCGCGGTTAACTGAATGTAAATTCTCGTCCCCTCGAGTGATCTGAGAAGCTTTCAAATCTACGCTCTTCACGTCAGCTAAGCCTACCATGGGGCGACCAGATGGGATAACATAATGTTGATTCGAGATGTTCGAAAGTGCGGCACGTTTTCGAACCGGCTGAGCACCGACCCGTTTGCTAGGATGCACTGTGCTGTTTCCAGGTCTAGAGGAGGTTTCTTCCATAACTGATCGCTTAGCTGCAGCCCTCGTTTGCCTTACTTCATCCGCGGTAGGCACTGATAGAGAACTTGACGAACGCGAGCGCAAGCGTCGTGCACTTTCGACTACACCTGTCATCCTAAGTTTATGCACAGTCGAGCACCGAAGGCGTTCTGGAACGAGCGATGACTACGGTGAAGCACGCATGACGAACTAGGATTGCCTCCTCCTTCAGGCCCTCACTAGATCGTTTTGAGGTTCTACGAATGGAATAAATATTGCACTGGATTTGTCGAAGCTGAAAGTCTAGCTGATCGTAAAAATTCCAGAAAGAACGTGCAATGACGACGCTCTAGTCAACCAAATCCACTATTCTTGGGAGTGAACTATCTCAGAGACTGCTCACTGGTTACAATTTCCGAGGCAAATGAAGGTACTTAATTTTGTCAAGAAATTAAATCTACTAGGAAGACTGTGTGCACAGTAAAGTTACCAAACAAGGACACACAAGCATATATGTTTATATATATGTATATATAAATATATATATATTCGTCAGCGATGTACTCAAGGATCTCCTACTCTGTACAGCACCATCTATCATTGAAAGCTCGCACCACCAATCACTCTCACGAGCCACTCAAGACTCTCACGTGTCGTTCCGGTGACGACGGCAGTACCACTACATTACTCACTCAACCAAAACTTCGCACCACCCTCTCGCCCGCTCCTCTGCTCAAAAATCGAGCAATGCGGACGAGGCGCAACTCACAATCCTCTGATTCAGAACCGTCCGCCGCCAACCTACAAGGGCCCGACCAGCCCCGCCGCGAGATTCTTCACAATTAATCCTTCCTTCACCAGACAAAAAAAAAAGAGCTCAACACCACAACCGCGACTGAAACAAATTACCACCCCAAGCTCTATGACGACCAATGCGGAATCTCCCTCGCACCAAGAAATCGATAAAGAAAAACCTCCCGCGACAACGCCGACCTACAACTACAGTGCAGTTACCACTCCACTGGATCTCCAACTCCTCTCTCTAACTCTCAAACACACACTCCCTGCCCTCCTTCCCTCCCGCCCGCCGTCCACACCGGAACAATGCGAAGAACGAGAACGACAACAGCCCGCACCTCTCAGTCCCTGACTCTACCACTTGGCAACGCCACAAGAGAGGAGAGGCGAGAAGAGAAGAAGCCGAGAGAGAGAGAATCAGGCCAAGATGGAGCGCGAGGGTCCAAGGAATGGATCAAGAGGAGCGGCGGGGGGTAGGGGTTAAGTGCACATGCGATGATTGGGAGAGTATCCGTTCTGAGCCGTTTCTGTTGCGAGATTGAAATTGAAATTTTGGAATCGGAGGCAAACAGATAGGAGGGGGGAAGGGAGGGAAAGAGGGGGGGGGGGATGGGAAGAGCAGGAGGAGCAGCAGGAGCAGAAGCAGCAGGAGCAGGAGGAGGAGGAGGAGGAGGAGCGGGCAGTGCCGTTCTGTTTGGGTGTGGCGCTGCTAGGCTGGCCGGGCCTAGGAAGGCGCGGCAGACCGAGGGCGCGGTGTTCCCTGACGACGTTCAAATGCGGGACTCCGACTCCCGATTAGCCTGCCCCCGCTCACCCGTCCGTCTGCCCGCCCTTGCCGCTCCCACACTTCCCAGCCCATTTTCAAATCCGAAGCCTTGCTTGAACTATGGTACCATGTCAACAAAGGTACAACTGATGCGCCTCATGTCCTTTGCAGTAGTCCATTCTCAACTCTGCCACTGGCTACCCCCCTCCTCGCGCCTTTCCATCTACCTTATCTTCCTGATTCTGTAGATTTTGATTCATTTAAAGAGATCTAAGTGACGTGATATTTTGATTTTCAAACTAATAGACATGTGGGAGCCCGGCGTGGAAGATATCTGTGACACCTGGAAAGTTCTCAGGAACTCAATACAAAGTGCCATCTGAGTATTTTGTAACAGAATAGCTGTGGATGAGATTCTTTTACATCCATTCGTGTAACTGGGATACCCACACTTTGTTGAATGCTGAAGTGTGCCAACTTTTTGGTTGTGTTTCAACGTGTTTGATTTAGTTATTTATTAATTGTTTATGTTCTCTGTTGAGGCAATCATGATTTACCTTATCCATGTGTGTGTGTGTGTGTGTGTGTGTGAGTGAGTGAGTCAGTGAGAGAGTTAAAAAAACACACTCGAATTAGCATGTAATTGTGAGAAAAAAAACTATATTTTTAATGTTACATGGTCTATGTTCATCTTTTCCTAATGTAAGAGCACAATATGTGGTTTTGCATCTTTTTATGGATATTCTTTCTGAAAAATTACTTTTGTTTTTCTACTCTCATTATTATACATGCTAAACCTAATACTGCAAAGCCAAGTTGTGCTTTTTAATTAGTAATATGTTATACAACACAATCCTTACATGAATTATGTAAGTGTATGCAATAAAAAATATATATACACACACACACACACAGTATTTATTTTATTTTATTGTTGAATGTAATGATCCTTGATGTGTATATTCATTTTTATAGTAATGCTATTATTCAGTAAGCAATACAACTTGTTGAAATTAGACAAAAAAGTCATGTAACATCAGATACCACAAGCACATCTTTTTCTTCTTTTGTATACCACTTTTGTATGTACTCCCCTCATTTGCATGGATTCATCTTCAGTTCTTCAAATCTACAATTTTCAGAAGAGAATGAAGTGTCTACATAAGTTACCCTTCTATTCATCATGTATATATTCACGACAGAATTTTAAGTTAAGTTTCAAATTTCTATTGAAAACACAATGATGGCCATGAACAGCCTGAGCTAACAGTACCAATTCAAACCATGAATGATAAAAAGATTCAAGCAATGATACACCCATACCACAAAAAGAAAACAAAAAGTTTAAGGTACAATACAAAAGTAAACAGATGATAGAAAGAGGGAGAGAGAGGAGCCCTAATCCATACATGAACTCTATATGTGTGTGCTTAAATAAGGGGGGGGGGATATTATGGCTCAACAAAATTCTATTTGAAAATGATGAAAGAGAGGGAGAGAGAGAGAGAGAGAGAGAGGATGTGTGAGAGTGATTAGACTTGTAGAAGGGGGTGTTGAGATGTCTTTCCCCCTGTCTCCCATGGAGTGTACCCACACCCCCCATTAAGATTAAGAGAGTCCTTTTTCTTTCTTTTGCTCTTGACTCTGGGCTCTACTTAGAGACCCCTCCAGATGGGTCCATTTCCATACTAAATATGGGGCACATTTCTGAAGAGTGCAGGGGCAGGGCAGCACTTAATTGTGTGACAGAGCTACCCTGCCATGAGATTGAAAATACAAAGAAAAAAGGATGGATGAACGAATGGGTATGTTAGTTGGTGGATGGATGGATGGATGGATGTGCTAGTTGCTGGATATATGGATGGATGAGTAAACTGCTATAATCATCCCCATGCTGATATTTGAAGTGTGTTGCTTGCTAGGAATGAATAATAAACTTGAGGAATACTTGGTATAAACTTTTTTTTGGATTGTGGGTTTGATGTCCTTGACAAGGATGAACAATGCAATTTGAGTGAGTATGTGTTTGTTTTGTAGGTTCCATTGTGGAATTAAGAGACCCGCCAAAATACTCCTACCATTCTTTTCTTGGATAATTTAATAAAGTGCTTATAATCCATTTTGGTTGGAATATGTGTGCATGCATGGGTCTCTTAAATAAACACTACTACTTCTTATGTTTTTTGATCTTTTGAAAAGATAAAGAAATAGACAAATAGTGTCCAATGAAAGTAGCCTATGCGATTTGGAAAAAGAAGATGAAATTTAAATGATGACCACCACATGGGTGTTCTTGACATAGATGGTTAGGATATTCTAACAATAATTGTATAAGAATTTCTTTGAATGATGTTAAGAAATTCAATGCTATTTCTAGTTTGATGATATTATTGACCATCATCATATATATTTATTTTAGTTCTATATATTCTTTTAAGAGAATTAATTCAAATTCAAGCATAAAATTGTTACATATGAAGAAGTTCAATAGATAAAATTTATTTCATAGTTAAACTTGAAATTAAAACCATGTAAAGATTTGTGCTATTGCTAATATTATTAAAAATATAGGCTAAATAATAATTAATTGGGTGTATCAATAAAAATAAGAATATTACTATCAAATATAATGATATCAACAAATTTAAAATACTATATATATATATATATTTGTATTACAAGTGCTTGGTTAATTCTAATTGTACATGATTTATATATGAAACTATTTTTATACTCTTCCTTTGAATTTTTTTTCAATGTATTCTTTCTTAATCATACTAAACATAAAAAGGTTATAAAAAAGTCAAAATCATAATTAAATTCTAAAATGTTTTCTGTTAACTTGAATTTATTTGAAACATTGTAGTGTACTCTAGAATTCTCTTACATGTTTCATCCATCATTCACTTAGACGTCCTACAATAAAGTATTTGTAACCAAAAAATGATTTGATTTAAAAAGAATGATCCTGAAATACGACAGATTTCAACCTTAAATTGCTTCAGGTAACCTCAGTGTCTATCACACTAACTTGCCAACTATTTTCTTTATCTTTTATCTTAAAACCATTAATTATTTGTGCCTCTATTTTTCATTTATATATATAAATATATATATATATATATATACATATATATATAATTCAATGTCAAATTACATTAAAATCTGCGGCTTAAGAAAAATAAAATAAAATATTAAGTATGCTATGTATTATAAAATTAATGAGATAATTTAAGGCTATACACATATATACAGATTTTTCTCTTATTTTGTACATGTAAATCTACAATACCTATAACCGTGTAAATATTAAAAATAAAAAGCTCTACAATATAGAATATCAATATTACAACATAATTAAAATTAATTAAAAAATGTATTATATTTGGTAGTATTGAATGAAAATCAAGATTAAATCCACCATTCTATATATATATATATATATAATTAAATCCGTTTCTGTTTATTTCATGTTTTTCTTGTATTTCTGTATTGAATCAAGATTCTTTAAATCTTTATATTCAATAATAGCTATTATTTTATTATATATATATATATATATATATATATATAAAAGTACAGAATACTTTATATTAATGGTATAAATTGTAAATACACAATATTATACAAAGAAGACAAATGTGTTTTTAAAATAACTAAAAAATTAGAAAATTATGCATGGTCAAATATTTTTAATAATGCACAAAAAGTATTGGAAATAGCTGAAAAATTAAGACCAAAGGCTAAAATTATAATACATTATTTAACAAATTATATAAAATTATTAATATTTTTGAAACTAAGTTTAAAAAAAAAATTCTATAGAAAATAAAAACTTATAGTTGATTTTTTAGTTTTCTTCTTAAATTTTCCAAACCACATTAAAAAATAATTATGATTTTTAAGAACATAAATTTAAATTATATGCTTTATTAAATTCTTAATATTAATGGTAAGTTTAGTTTTTTTTGTTTCTTGGACTATTTATAAATACTGAAAGTCTAAAATAGAAAACAAAGATAGATTGTAACAATTTTCGAATTACATACCAAAAATATAGAAAATTACATATAAAAATCGTATAGTCAAAGATAGATATAACAAATAGCTATATGTTTTTCATGATTGAAATTCAAATTTGTCAATTTTAATTAGTGGTTGACTTAGTTATATAATTTAAATAATTTTTACTACTATTATTTTTGTATTACCTAATGATATATTTGAACTTGTTTCTATGATTGTTGTTGATAAAGCAAGCTCAATTTTAATGTTTCAACTCTTTTTTTATTTTTATTCTTAATTCAAATACTTTCCTAATTTATCCTTTGTTAGATTCTTTTTATGTAATTTTACCCAATAAATATATAATTTTAATTTTTTTAACAACAACATTATAATTATATGTACAAACAAACATAAAGATAAAAAAATCATTTATTAAATATTCTATTTATACTTGAACAGATTAATATAAAATATTTGTATTTACATTTAGATTTATAAAACATTGCAAGATCCCTCTCTTATAATATATATTATGCAGAAGGGTTTTTTCAATTCACTTTTATTTATATAATAAATTTAAATTTTAACTTATTTTAGTTTTTTAAAATAAAGAAGGTTCTTAAAATAATATTTATGTACATTTATTGATTTTTTTAATAATTTGACATAGTCTTCTTTAGTTTTAAAATTATTATCCATAGTTAGCAAAATTGACGTAATTAGAAGAAATAAGTAAAAATTAAGAAAAGTTTATATTGGCATTTAACTTACAGAGGTAATTAAATCTTGTTATGAACAACCTCAGCAATAATCATTAAATAAAAAGAAAAGAACATAAATAT